ACTCTTTCTGTCCCCATCACGTTCCTGGCATGAACCAGGAGTGACTCCCGCGGGTGATGCTGCTGTAGAACCGGTGTGAGTGAGATCCAGGGCGCTCTTCTCCGGGTCTGTTCATGGTGTGCAGTAGCTCCAGAAGCATTGAATCGTTCAGAGAAACACTTCAAACTATTCAGAAAAATTATACTACAGAACTGCCATTGCCTAACTGTTCATGAAGTTAAGGAACGTTCTCTCTGTGTACCGGGGAGGGACATTTAAGCGTATGTAGAGGTAAGATGCTTGATTATGCAAAGGCACATGCCATTGATAAATTCTGAGTACTGATAGTGTCCCTAGTACAAAATAGGAGCATTAAAAAGGACATTAAAATACTGTAAAGGCATGCTCACGCAGTGCTCTTGCAGCGCGACTTGGGCGGGCGGCTCGGTGACGTACCCTGGCCGCTGCCGGGCCGCGCTGCTGGCCCAGGAGGCACGTGCGGTTCTGCCTGCACGGCCGCTCGCTTCGCTGGCAGCGCTGGCCGTTACAGATGGGTGGCATTTCCAGGGCAGGCAAAAGGGAGGAGATAAATTTAAACCCAGCAGATTATTAGGTAACAAAGTTAAGAATGCCTGTCACTGTGTATTCCTGGACCATCAGGGTCCTAAAATAGCACCAGTCCACCGGTCAGGAACGCTGACCCTGTTTCTGTGTCCTCCTGTGACAAGATTTGCTGTTCTGCTGTTGCTGCTGGTGTTGCTGTCTTCCTGTACGGTGTACGGCCTCGCCGGCTTGGCCGGGAAGCAGAGGTCCCCCCGCTCTCGCGACGTGGGCCTTTTGGCAGGCGGTGGTGTGGGCAGGGTGAGGGTCCTTGTCCCCTCGTGCCTCGGTTGTGGTTCCGACCCCCTGAGGGTTCGCAGGGCTGGATCGCTCCCTTGATTCATTCAGTCCTCAGTCCCTTTTAGGAGAGCGTCAAGAACGAGTGGAAATTACACGTGATTTTGGTGTGCATCTTCTGGCTCAGCTGTCTCTCTGAGCCCAAGAAAATGCCCTAAGCCTTGCGTGCTTTTTCCATGCTGGGCTCGCAGAAGCTCACGTCCGGAGCGCGCTGCAGGTGAAAGGATGAGCCACGCGCGTGTCTGAGCGCACGGCGCGCTGTCGCCGTTCATTGTTTTTACCTGTGTCTGTGAAGGAAAGCAGGTGAACTTATTTCATATGGAAAACCAAAGAGCCCTAGGGGGCTTTTTTAAAGCGTGTCTTGACTTTGTATGCAAGGTGTGAGTGCAAAGTGAGCAGGAGACAGAGATCTTCGTAGCTCGGTGGGAGTGTTTCTGTCCTGAAGGCGTGTGTCTGTTAGGAGGAGACGGCTTAGAGACCCTTCGGGCCTCTCGGTGGCGAGAGGGGTTGGTAGCGTGGTTCCTTTTTGCCTGTGGATGAGTCAGACACAGAGGACAGTGGCTAACTGGTGTCAGATTTTGGCTAAAAAAAATCCTTGAAATAAACTCTTTAGCTCAAGGGAGCTCAAGATTTGCAACACCAAAGGCCTTGTTGGCAGCTTGTCAGCAGCCCCAGGGCTGCACCTGCTTCGCAGAGACATTTACATAAATATTTCTGATCAGTAATGCGCGCTTGTAACCTTACTTTCCTGTTCTCTTGGCTTCCTCGATGAATGAAAATTATTTGTTGTAGGAATTTCACTGCCAACTCCCGGTCGTGCACTGGAAGGCATTGCCATCGGTGCAGACCTCAGCTGCAGGTCTCCTTTCTAGGTCCTCTGCTATCGCGACGTTAGCTCCAGAAGCCAGTGCAGGAGTGAATTCAGCATGGGCAGGTTCTGCTGTTCTCATCAGACCTCGAGCAGTGCCAGGAGCTTCCAGTAATTGACTTCTTTGCTGCTGCCTTCCAGTCCGGTGCAGTTTTACGTCTGGGTGGAAGTTGTGCGGTCTTTTTGTCCGGCGTGTGCCGGGCAGGGGCTGGCGCCGGGTCGGCATCCGGGACGCTCTCCCTCTCCCAGAGGCCAGCTACCTGTGCTGCCCCGGCGCTGGCTGCGTGGCCGAACACGCACACAGAAAACACGATTAGTCAGCAGGTCACCGGGGTTGAATTTCCTCGTGCGTCCTGTGCCAGGGCCATCGTGTTGCCTCTGGCTGCAAACCAAGCAGCAAAGTGGAGCAAACGAATTACAGACAAAGGGCTTTTATTTATTAGTTATTAATGTTGTTCAATTGAACCAGTCTGAAAGCATTGGTAGCTAAGATTTATGCTGTTTACTTCAGGGGATTCCTGCT